CGTGAAGTTATTTTTAGCGTCAGGGTGGCATCGATCGAGGTGCGCAGGGGGTTGGGAAGCTATTTCAGGACTTTGCGTCCCTCCACCGCCTCCGTCGACGCCGACGCCGATTGAGCGTTGACGTCGCCGGTGTGCAACCTGATGGCATCAACCTGCAACGACTAATACATATTAAGTCCGGGGATTGAATCCTTGCGACTATAGCCACCGAGACAACGCTGATGTATGTACCGCAATGCTGAAAAGGGATCCACGCAATTTACATGTCTATGGGGAGATACAGCTTCCATCTGATCCTTTAATCGACGTGAATTCTTGTATGATAAAATATTGAGATAAAAAATCATTATTAAAAAACTCATCTTGTACAGCAAGATTAAGATTTATATCATCACATTCTTAACCAACAAATAATTATTATTGCTACACAGCAAGTTTTAATTAAACCGGTTATTACATAACCGCAAGAATTTCCGGTGACGTTGAATAATTAAGACCGCGTTTAACGATTTATGATAGCTGTTAAATTTGTCTAACTTCAAAATAGTTAACATCTCTTCTTACCACATTATCTCATCAACAACATTCCATTACAAAAATTAATCTTTAAAACTTTACTACTATTTTTGCCCATAATGAATGTTAATCATATGAGTGTCATCATCCCTGGTACTCCAGATATCTTCGAATATCGCTTGAAAACTTTACGATATCTTTTCAGACTTCCTTTAATATCATCCCAGGCAGTGCTCAACATGGTCCTAAATAATTCGGATTTTTAAGATTTTTTCTGACAATTTATCAACGTATCAAATTAAAGCTAAAATTGTGTTCCCTGCGATAATATATTCAAATCAAAACTCCATCGGAAAATGAAGTGAAAAAGCTGTAAAAGGTGAATCAGAATTATGGAAAATAAGAAATAATGTTGACATCAAATGACTTTATCAGATAACTGAAGGGGAAAACATTAAGATGTTATATAGTATTTTGCTATTAATTCTCCAACTAAAAGATTTTCCATCTATTATAACATACAAAACAAACTTCAATTAAATTTCATCTCATAAGGTAAAACTGGGTATTGTAAAGCTCTCCGGCAGAGGTTTAAATGCGATTAGGAATGGACGAAAATCGCCCGGAGCTCTTTGGCAACACCAGGAAACAAACCGGTTGAGAGCAGAATTTAATTAATATGCTAATTTGGGTCACAAAGACCTGGATGTATAGACGTTGTGCGTGGTACTCATAGTTGATAAATCAATATTGATTTACCAATTGTACGTAAACACATTTACATATATCATGTTGAATAAATTTTAAATAATAAATAATATAAATTTTTAACAAAAGATGTTTTAAATACCTTTATGTATCACACGATGATGACGTAGAATTTCGTGTAACACTGAATAGTGCCACAAAAGACTTTTATCAACGATTTCCACAACAATTAACTTGCGCTGTATTACACAAGGAGGCAATGCTCCGGAAATGATGTGGAGCTCGCGTTTGCGCATCCATTCTATGCTTCGAGTTGCATGGAAGCAGGCTGCATCATAGAAAACTTATGACAATGACAAAGTTCCCTCTAACTTGTACATGGTGGGAGGTTGCGGTACAGTTTGCAAACTATTTCTAATTTTGTACCGTCTGGTTTATAATTAAAGGACTTATTTATTATAAATTTAATTTTTTTAATATAAATTCATGAATCTTGAATCGATTTTCTGGCCCGCAAACTATTTTGGTCGAAATAAGTGGAATGGGCGGTAGAATTTGGCCATCGGGTTTCGGGTGTCAACGATAGAAGCTAAGAAGCCTGGGGAGCCTTATCCTTGAAAGATGCCTTACGTCTCCTGAGGATGGCATCCCTTTGATGGATTGTCCTTCTTGGGGAACTGTCACAAAGGTCGCCAGCTGCGCTCTATTGTCCAAATATTAATTTTCCACGGAAATTTCGTACGATGGAATTTCAAATAACGTTGAAAAGAAATTGTTAAGGTGCGGCCACAAAGAGAACAATGTAATAAGCACTTAAAATATTTTCAAAAGTACTTTTTGATTAACGACGCATCGCAATTTAAATGTAACTTTAAGCGTCGTTATTTATTTGCGCTTAATCATTTTTTTTAACCAAATAAAAGTCAACTAAACTTTAAAATATATGAACACCAACTCCCATAAATTAAAACCCGAGCTGTGGTTCGTTAGCGAGATGGATTAATGTGGCGAGAAAAGCGGAGAGCACCGATTCGCGAGTTGACTAAAAAAACTCGACTCGACAAAAAAGCGCGGTTTTTGATCTTCATCGTCGCCTGTGTTTGATAAATTGTTTTCCTTAATATACCCCTTAGTCATGATTAAACGTTTAGTCCATTTCAAAAGAGAATTGGGGATTTCTTTCGTTTTGCATTCTTTTGTATTAAACCATCCTCGGTTAAATCGATGCTTACCTTCCAACCATCCAAGCACAGCCGTTTATTGGGTGACTTTAAACTCCACTTTTACTGCACTTTGGGGGTCGGTTTTATCGATGAGTTCTCTGTGGAGCTGTTTATCCTTTAAAGCTTAAGTTGTTGGCACACAGCATCGTTGTTGATTCTACGTTGTGCTTTTTTAGTCCACGTCAAAATCTCACTGATAGCTCGGATAATGTTTCCAAGCTTCAGTTTTAACATTATTCATTATAATTTTCTTCCTATTTCAATTAAATATTACATCTGTTATAATTTTGTAAATAAGCTTTTAAATATAAACTCGTATTGTTTTATAAAATGATGGTTGGTATTGTTTGTGTATAGCGAAGCAAAGTTTTAATTAACTTAATTATCTGCCTACCTCAAATTTACGTGATATTCCGTGTCCGTTTCAGCGGTTAATATGATTCTCATTTGATGTTTTGTTATTAAACTTCCTTTGTGGTGTTTGTATTAAAATAAGGCAATTAAATAACACATTTTATTATCGCAAAATAAATTGTTTTTCTAAATATTTATCGTTGAAACTTCGGCGAAGCTTCGTCAGGCTTTTAATCTTATTCCAACTTAATAGTTTCAATGAATGTTCTTCGAGTACGAAGAACCTGTAATTACCCTGTCGCTACCAAAGCTCTACGTACCGAAGCTTTGTGTGTAAAGTCCGTAAACTTTCCAGTTAATGTTCTATCACAATTACTTTTACCACTCATTAACAGGTTTCCACTTCAATCTCTACGATATTAACTGCTACATATCTAATCCTAAAAACATTGATTCATTTTTAAGATATCAGAAATCAAAATATCGATTTTTCTACATATTTAGAGATAGGCATGATACTGAGATGTTGAGAGCTGTCCTGGATGCTGTGTTGGATTGAATTAATCAGAGATGACATTGAGTGATATGGGAGATGTCGATAGTTACTAGAAATAATATTATTGTCTAAATAATTTAGTGTCTGAAGACGAAGTCGAGGACTCTAAAACACTCCTAAAAGACCACAATTTGATCTTTAACGTGATATAAAAATCATTTCTTAGTTTTCAAAAATAAGATCGGTACGATTTATTTAAATTCCAAAAATTTTAAAGCCCACAATTTTATCTTTCATTTGATATAAAAATGATTTCTTAATTCTCAAAAATAAGGTCGACACGATTTTGATAAGTAGCAAAAACGTTTTCGGAAAATAATTAGATCCAAAGTTTAGAGTGTGACATTCTAACACTTTTCTCCAAAATTTTCCAATGGATTTTCGAATTGGATATATCATATTGAAGACCACAATTTGATCTTTATCGTGATATAAAAATTATTTCTTAGTTCTCAAAAATATGTGTATGATTTTCTCAAATATTTCAAATCTTTTAACATTTTGGATATAATGATGAGTTAATATTGAAAATAATTATTTAATTAATGAGGGATAGATATGAACCACTAAATTTGTTAAATTTGTTGTGGCAAAACAAACCCGATAAATTCCACCGAGGTTAATTTTCCTGTTTGTTAATTACATATAGAATCATGAAATTCGCAGAAATTAGTTTGTCATCATTAAAATTGCAAAACGTTTTAATGTAAAGTGATTACCTCAACCATTGGCAGGTTAATTACGTTTAGATTAGCATAAACTTTCATTTTATACACGCAACAGATTAAAATGTATCTTTTATGTATTTCGCGAGATTGAAGATAGTTGTTTAAAGTGTTAGACGCTAAAGCTTTATCGATCGTAGTTGTATAGACTTAAATCTCTAAAACTAAAACTCATTTTAAATTTAGCTGAAAGTTACGTTTAAAACTAATTTCAGTTGCATTATTAAACCGCGACGGTGGCGTCTCTAAAGGAAATTCCAAACGAAGTTATATTGCGGCTATTTTAATTTTGAATACGGAAAAGCTCGCCAAAGAAATAAGTGGAGAAAGGTGACGGAAGAGTGTTTTACTTTACGTAGATCAATTTTCTCGAGTTTCGGATTGCTTTGTATTGTGCAAACACCTTATAGGTGACCCCTATAAGGCCAAGAAAAAGTAATCTTTTAAACAAATAACCCGAGGCGTTTCGGCCGGAATCAAATCTCAAAATTAGGATGGTAAATATTTTAAGGTTGACACAGAGTCAACAGTTTTATTTTTAGGGGCTTTATATTTCAAGAGTGTCATATCATGCTGGATTCAGAAGACATAAATCATCTCCGTCGACGAATACGAAGCATATTTTCAAGGGGGTGCAACATATACGTAAAATATTTAATCAATATAAAAGCGGTTTATCAAATTTGAATTTTTCGTTCTTTTTAAAATGATTAAGTTGATTCAAGATGAAACGAAAATTTCAAATTTATGTCTTCAATAATGTGGGAGACATCTCTACAAGCCAGTACAAATCAACTAGAATATATTTTTTTACGTTTTATTAAGTTAAAAAAAATCTAGACGTGGACACAAAACGAAAGAAAAGGGAAATATTAAAAATATCGGGAAACGAATTTTAAATGCATTTTGCCTACTCACATACGGCCGAGTTATCTGTGAAAGTTAAACAACAAAAATCGTGATGAATTATCACTTTTACAAGGTATTGCTCTTAAAAGAACTTTTTTATTTATATCAAATATCTTTTGAGAGCAAATTCTTAATTTAATTAAAACATGTGCGTAGGCTGGTATTCGTATCCCGAGTTTAACACATACTCTAACAAACATAGAGACATCCCCAATTCATCTTTCAACGCGTTTAATTCTTATTTAATAGTTTCTGTAATTGTTAAATTAATAAACTTGGAGAAATTATGATTAGTTTAGGAAAGTTTTGTGTACCAATGGGAATTCAATTACTCTTAACTTTTCGCGTCCGAACATTTGGGATTTAATTATTTAAGAATTACTACTTTTGGTAAATTGCCAATAGTTTACTAATGACTTCTTCACGTACATAATCTTAGAAAAGTTCGAACAAAAACATTTTGCTTGTAACATCATTGATATTGATTGTAAAAATAATAACAAAAACTGCTGTGATCAAAACACACAAAAACACGATGTTGATTATTTTAAAATAAACAAAACCATTTAAAATTTAAATTCACTATTTTAACGAAATGAATACTGAAAATACACAGGTATTTAAAAAATTTTTTTTGATATTTGCATTAAAGGTAATTGAAGACAATAGCTTTGAAATTGTCGTAGGTACAAACACCGTTCCTCTATTATTGATCTTTGCCATGTTCTTAGACACACCGTCGATAACTTTAATAATGTTATAAAGTTACCAGTTTGAGCAGTTTCATGACCTCAGCGTTTCCCCTATAGTTAACTTCCTTCCAAGTAATGTTACAAACACGCTCTCATTGTTTATAGAAACTAAATTTCAATAAAGGTAAATAATTAAAATAAAACTAGAACTAAAACTAACACTAGATTTAGAATTAGAAATATTCGGGTTTAGCTACGCGTCTCTCAAGACGGCTAAACCCATATGTTTCTAGTTCTAGGTCTAGTGTTAGTTCCAGTGATAGTGTTAATTGTAGTTTTAGTTGTTATTCAGCACCAGGTAGTAACAATGGCTTTTAACTCTCTTCGAGTTACCATTTTAGTATCCGTTGTGGAGTTGAGAACACCACAAATTTTCACGATGATGATATCCCTAGCAATACGTATTGAAAAGAAAAACACCCGGATCTGTCAAAATCACCAGAATACCAGGGAATGCGGATGGTGTAAAAGAAGCAATAATGCGAAGTTTTACGATTAACTCAAAACTCTGTACAGTGAATATTACATAGACATAGGATCACCCGTATAAAATTGATTCAACAGTGGAATGAGCAGGATTCCACTTCAACGATGTTTAATGAAAATGAGGATTTAACCATCACAATGAGTAATGAAGCTCATTTTTATCTTAATGAAATAGAACTGTCATTCTTGGCTTTAGCTCTCTTGAGTCTTGGCCTAAAAAGAAGCCAAATAGCTAGTTGGCCACTAGGTTATCTTAACCCTAGCAGTCACTGCACATCTCAAAAGTGACTGTTTGGTGCAGTATCTGAGTTTTAACAAAATGGAATCACTACCCATACAGCCGAACTTCCCTGATGGTTGCTCAAACTGCATTTGCTAATCCCATTTCCTCTACGCTTTCAAAATAATGTGTTGAAAATCGTTACATTTAAATGTTTTGAGATATATCTATTGTATTTTAAATCTAGTTTTTCTTGTAATACTTATACTAATTACCAGAGAATGAGAGTAATGAATTTATTTATTATGATGCAAATGAAAATAAAGCTTTTATCTTGTTGAATAAAGTAGTAAATAAACAATGTGAGGGGGGAAATTTTCGCACTCTACAATATTTTCAGCTAGACTAGACACCATCTGTTTGTTTACGCGTGAGTAAATATTTAACCGATCATATATGTACCGTACGTTGGGTACTCCGTCTCGTCTCTATGTTTGTTATTTCAGTGTGGAAATACCAGCCAAACGGTGCTTCGGAGTGCTTCGGTTGGTAAGCGGGACGTAAAGGTGTTTATATTTTTAGTTGGCAGTCATCCCTTTTCAAGCCTCCATAACTACCACAACCATTTCGGAATCGATTTTTCGTTTCGAGTTTGTGGACGTTATAAAGGGACTAAAAGAGGGTGTATACAAAAAACATGTTTCTTCGGACGATTGGTTAAAATTTAACGTTCAGATAACGTAACGACATATTCTGTCTATCACTGTCGCGATATGTGGTAATCTACGGCCGAAATTTGTGTATGTGGCGTATACGAAATAGTATGTGATCTGCATAGCATTCACCAGTAGCCAGTGTATACGTGCATAAATAATGGATGGTGGTAATCACTTTGATTCTGTCATGGCATAAATGTTTGACTTGCGTGTTACAGCTGTTGGAATAATTTATGATCTCGATGTGGATTTAGATCTTTTTAACCAATGGTCCTTAAAAGATTGACACTGAGCACATTTGCATTTCCGCGAAACGTTATTATGATCTTACATATTTTAGTTTGATGTCCGATTTTATTTCAACCGGAAAGAAATATGGGCTCTGTTTGTGTTAGTATAAAAGAGAAATAAATCTTGAGTTTATTCTGACAGGTTAAAAATGCCCTTTAGCTATTTTTGCGAACAACCACAAATAGCGTCTTCTAACAATAAATCTTACGTGCCAAATATCGCTACATAGAATAATTTTTATAAAACAGATATGTTCCCCCGGATATGAAAATGTGCCGTGTTTCTTTTTATGTTGTTTTATTTTAGTTAAGCATGGAATAGGAATGCATAATATTTTAAGATAAACAACACATAATTAATAATAAAATTAAATGAAATTAAAAAATGGACTCACCTTGAAATTCTTTTCTAGCCGCCGATACCGAAGTTACGATGTTGGCGACGTGGCCCAGCACCGTAGCAAAAAGCATCAACCCGAACAAAAGTTGAATGATAACGAAGAGATATTCACCTTTGTTCCTAGGCCTCGGCAAATCACCAATGGTGGTCAATGCGAGCGTGCACCAATAATAACTTTGTAAATACTGTTTAACAACATCCGTACTTTCCGAATCACTGTACACCCAATTTTTAGAACCGAACCCGTTATTTTTATGAATTATATGAAACAAACAACCGTTCCAATGAAATATCACCAGCAAGTAATGGATGAGACTGGTCGAGCGAAATAAATTCGGGTAGTTCGTGTGGCGTTCTGTTCGGTCCATGAACGCCCAAAACCGATAGATTTTCACCAGTCGAAACGAGCGCAATATCGAATTGAACCCTATTGACAAGTAGAGAAAGTCTAGTGGCAGTAGGCACAAACAGTCTATGTAAAACGTCGTTGAGTTCATGTAATGGTGACGCAGTTTCGTCGAATCCGTCTGCAGTACACCGTCTTCGAGGTAGCCCGTCCTAAAGTGGAACATTATATCCACTAAATATATAAAATCTGCGAAGTAGTCCAAACAAAACCACACTAGTATCGTTTCCCCTATAAAATTAAAAGAAAATATATATAATTAATTTAAATTACAATAAATATATAAAATATAACTTAAATGGAATATATGTAATGTGTTGCTGTGGTCGGTCCAAGATTACATCCGTTCTTCCTGTTGGTTCCTTTTGGAAAGGGACAGTCTGCCGACAGGAGACTACGACAACACACTGAAGATGCCAGGTGAGATCTTAGCGAAAGCTCTGCCCCTTTCTAAATGGAACCAACAGGAAGAACGGATGAAATCTCGGACCGACAATAGCAACACATGCTTGTCATACGTTAATAAACTACTAAAGATTTAAGTCGGTCGAAAATAATCGATAGATTCTCAATTAAAATGAAAGTGTTATCGCGTAATTTTAATTCTTCAACTGACTCGTAAGTTAGGTATCTTGAATTATTGACATGAAAATTAACAAGCAAAATTCCAACTTATCTGATAAATAACTTTTAGGTTATGTTGTAACTCAATTCGATCGAAGGTCTCTATTGGATTGGAAGGTCCCTCTTAGGAATGGAAAATGGACAGGCACCCGGAAAGCTTCGGTTCGGATAATTATTCTTCAATCGGACTTTTTTGGATCTGGTGTGTGGTAACTACCTTTGGAATTTTTTCAGGAACACAGGTAATTTCTCCTCGGTTTAAATTTATTAAATTTTTCTTCTATAGGTTATGTTAAAATTTTGATTCGGCGTTAAATTTGGATTGAATTATCGAGGAAAAACTTTTTGAATTGGAGAACCAATTTAAGGTTAGGAAACTACTTTTGACTTTTATAGGTTAGATTTTTTTTATCAAAAGTGAACCCTATTCTTGGTCTTACTAAATTGGACTGTCTCAGTTTAACTTTTTCGTCTTCTTATATACCCTTTTCCCCTTCTCCAGAAAATTTTCTTCCTTCTATTTTTAACCCTCGCTTCTACATGGCTGATGGGTTTCGCGCCATTTCTTCCCTTAAAATAATTTCAAATCTTTCTAGCCATCTAGCGGATTTCTTTCGAACTACTCAAAATTCCAAAACTTACTTTATTCATATCTTCTTTAATTCTTCACTAATCTCGATGAAACTTCGTATTTGATACATATATTTTTCTATTCCAGCCGTCCATTGGAGGTTTCAAGATTCTCCAACCACAAATTAAGTTTGAATTTTACAAATTTAAGTCCAAGTTTCAAGGTCAAAATCGTTCAGAATCTTCAGGAATTTAATAAATTAGATGTAGCTGACACTGATCTTCCCGTTTTGGATCGTTTAGAAAGGATATTAACAGTTTTAAGAAAATTATGAGCAACTAAAAATTAACTGTCAACTGAATTGAGGTTATGTTTCTTTCTCAGGTAAAACTTGTCTCAGAAGCGATATTACAATATAATATGTATATCTGTTATGATATCTAGCAGACGAATTCTGTTGAATTAATATTAGAACTAACACTAGACCTTCAGACATATAGCAAGTATCATGATCATTTTCAGGTTAATATGATATTAATCATTAATCACTGAACCTCGGCTTTAAACGTTTTCACTTTGATAGGTTTGTTTTGTTCAATTAAGGACTGTGGGGATATTGAAGCATCTTCGTCAGTCTCTTTCGCTCTTTTTAAATATTTTCTTGCAAATTTGATATCGTTGATAAAACGCAAGCAGACAAAATCAAAGAATCATATGTGATGGCACATCTTCAATCACCTCTTGCGCTTCTTTTCATTGAAGCTAACAAAGACAATAAAAGCTTTTGTAAGAGCATCATTTGTAGAGATACGTATGAAACTTTTTATCACATACTTTAAAAGTTATTAAAGAACTCATCCAGAATCGAATTTAATTTGAAGGCATATCCATAAAATGATCGTATTTCGTTATCATCCATATTGCAATAGTACAAAATAAATAAATTTTAATAAAAAGATTTATTCCACACGTCGCATTCGATGGCGGAGATTTTAATAAATCCATATCGGAAAAATATAAATTAAATTTTATTATCATCGTAAAATATGTGTTAGAAGTAGGGCTGTCGTCGGCAGCAAATCCGTTTTATTAGAATACATACGAGAGCTATTGGAATGATCTATAAAATTTTTATATTGAAATAATATGAATATGCCAACGGAAAGGCCAGAATTTCACTTAATACTAAATTCTAGAATAATTACATACTTATTCAAATCAACACACTTTACTAAATTTACAATATTGTTATACGCGTTGTTTGTGTCGCACAACATGTGCCACTGTATTTTAACACATGTGGTTAGAATATTCGCCAAACACCCATTGTTTACGACCAGTCCGTGTTGTTAACAATTTAATTAATTTAAATTAAAAGACGAAAAAAATTCGTGCACAATTACGCTGTTTATGACATTAGTAATTAAATTCTTTATGTCGTTCATCAATACTTAACATGATTCATAATTATATCGTTGACAATACTATTAAGCAGATTAATTGATAATAATGAGAATTATTTGTAATTTAAATATTACAACAAATACAATATGAACCATTTCATAAATATGAAAATGAATTTGTATTCAATTTATATATGCTCAATAATATTTAATTTTTTAAATAAATATTTACTAATGCATGAAGTTAATAACTGTGTAATATATATAAACTGTTAAATAGTGAATGTAATAAAGTTTAATTATCTAATCGTAAGTTTTATATCTCGCACTAAATCGTCGTTAAACGGTTCAGTAAATTTGATATCATTTCATTTTATTTGACATAAAACATGTTTATTACCAGTACGGTTATATCGAAATAACAAGCCGTAGATTTTGTTGGTGAAAAGTTTAGTTGGAAAATTTCGTTGTAAAATGAAATTCAATTCGAGAGAGGGACGAACAAACACGATATTTACCGGGGCGAAGGAAAACTCTTTAATATTAGGGTCGAATTTACCTTTCGGTCGTTATTTATTCTTCGGCGTACCCGAAACGCAATATCAGTATACTTACTGTTTATTTCTTGAAAGGCGAAGCGGTATATTATGACCCAAAAATTGTATAGGAACGCGAAGGAGACTATCATTGACCAGTAATAGCACAGCCTCCCCGCGGGGTCGAATACAAAGGACCAACCGATGCCACCAGGTCTGAGTCTTGCTGTATATGAGTCAACCCTTCGAAACCCGTATCGACTGAAAAAGAAGAAAAAGATAACTTAACAGAATAAATCTTGTAAAATCTTTCAAGGTAAATCTTCTTACGTCTCGTGAGTTTTAGTTAAAGGATTGATCATGAAAAGTAATGAGATTAAGTAATGATGTGCTTAGATTTATTTATAATTAGAAAAAGCCGGATTTAACCGAGCAGCTCAACTTTTAATATTTTATGGAACACTTTTAAAACTCTATGGCCTTGCTTAGGCGGTGCTTGTTACCTTGCGGGGGAACCATGCATAAATAAAGCTTGAATCTGACTGCCCCCGCTTCTACATTGTCAAGATAATCCGATTCTCGAGACACCCGCTAAATAAATAAGATTGTTTCCTCCCTAATTTATAAACTTAAAATACCTACCATAAACACATCAATAATTAAAAATTAAATAAATCAATACTGTAACTAAGATGGCTTTCACGGCAGATGTTAATTGAAGTAAAACTAGAACTAAGACTATCACTAAAACTAACACTAGAACTAAAACTAGAAACATTCGGATTTAGCCGTCGTAAGAGACGCATGGCTAAACCCAAATGTTTCTAGTTCTAGGTCTAGTATTAGTTGTACTGTTTGTTGAACAAAAATTATTACAATCTGACGCTGAATAACAACTAAATCTAGAGCTGTGCGTCTCTCAAAATGTCTAAACCCAAAATTTTAGCTTTAATAATAAACTTTTAAGTTTTATTTAAAAAAATCAATATTAAAACGTAATCTAATATAGCAAAAAGCTTTCTATCTAATAGAGTACTAAATGCATCTTATAATTTATTTATGATATAAATTTTGCATAACATGTTCGTGTATTCCCACCTTAAATAATGTACGCAACTAATTACGCAAACCATATGAATTATTACAACGTATATTGTTATTAATCGTTTTGATTAAATTTATATTCCTCAACACAAACGTACTGTGTTCTAATTAATGTGTTAATAATGAATGAGTCTTACCTCTCCGTTCCGTTACAACTGCTGGTTGAATTGAGATGATTTGAAGATGGTGGATTTGTCCCGGAGGTAGATCCCGGAGTAGTCCTCCAACCACCCAATAAAGGAGCTTCCCCGGAACTTGCCAACGCTACGCTCGCGGGTAATTTGAGTCTTCCTCGTAAATCTCTTCTCCTTGTTTTTCTGGATAAATCCAACTCGCTGGCTGCCGAACTAACGACGTTTGTAGGACGGGTCACGCAAGGTGTTGGGATGCTGTCATGCGATGACGAGTATAGATGCTGTTGACGACTCCTTGACATACCTAACTTACAGGTTACTAACTCTGGAACGAACCTTTTGTTCTTCGATCAAATTGAAGCGTAATAGGGTGGCTTACCTAAAAGGCTCTGTCTTGAAACAGACTTAAGAGCCCTATGAACACTTTCAGTGCTGGATTTAGCACCACCTACCGCTGGTGCTAATGATGAACAAATCGTTCCGCTTCCTCCTAATCTATCACCTATTATACGACCACCACCACTGGTGATAATACCTGAAACAAAAAAAAATAACAGATACTTTTGTATCCATATCTAATACTATTTTTACTATTTTATTTAGTGACATACTCATTTTATCAACTCAGTTATTTTAACTGTTTCAACAAAATGTTAATAAATTAAAAGATCGTTGCGCAACGTTTCACTATTTTCGAACTAGTTCAAATAGAATCGTGGCGTAAACACGGTTGTATTTGCCTACGTTGTTTGTATTTAATTACCAACATCTCAAATAGGTACATGTGTAATGATTTAGATTTCCAACAAATCTTTACCTTCAAAAACAAGTTTGAAATGTTGATATTTCGATAATATTCGTGGAATATAACAAAATGCGGTATTTATTAATACAATGCTATTGTAAATGGTTGCAAAGGCGTTTATAATGGGACTCGTTAAGGTTGGAAAAGGAGTTGGGGCGAAGATTGGAGGTGGATCCGGGCACAGATTCGAGTTACAATTTAGTTGGGCGACGGTAAATCCAGGGCAACCACGGTAGATAAAGAGCACTTTTACAACCACCTCGCCGGGAGGTTTCATGGGGCAACCGCGGCGGCGTTAATTCGCCGCAACCAACGACTGCCGACGCCGCGACCTTCTTATTTCAACGCTAACGATGAAACATGGCATGGCCTGAAGGCGAAGCGCCATTCGAATAGCGTCGTTGTCACTGAAATTCAGGCGCCGTTATTTCCTCCATTCAACACCGTTACACAACCGTATGTTCAATTGTACAAGATGAAACTTTTAAACCGTAGCAATCCGGGTTTTCTATGGCTTTTTCGAAATACGAGGTACAAAGGAGGAGAATATACGACTAGGGCTTCTACAAAACTAATGTGTAATTTTTTACGTAATTCTCTTAATGCACTGAAAAATATTTCCACTTGAAACTTTTACAACATTTTTAATTTGCGTATATGCTTCTAATTGCGACCGACCAAGCTTCGTTACAGCTATTATTCCATAATAAACCGAAATCAAGAAATCGTGATTCTTTTTATTCACAAAAATTTTCGTTTCAAAATTTAATTTTCGTGTTAATTGATTTCGTTAAATTTATTAAAACAGACTTTGTGATGATATTTTCCGTGCTAGTTCACAAATAATTAATTCTTTACAACATAAAATAATTTCAAAATAGCCATAGGGTTGAAAACCAATAAAGATTGTTCTCTCTCTATTATTGAAAATGCAAAATATTTATTTATTTTTCTGTTTAAATCTAAAATTAATTACTTATTGGTAACGTAAAACAATGCAAAAAATGGCAAAACAAATATTATCGTTTATAACAAAGGATTTTAAATTAAAAAAAAAAAGTTGTTTCAAATGTGTGAATCTAAATTTTCTATTTACTTAAACTTTAATTCCAATTTTTACATTTTTAGTAACTTATATATTGCAAACTTTAATATATACTACTAATCTTTTATTGCCAGTCTTCTTCCAGACACCTTCCTCTCCATCCAGTTTCTTCTAGTCTCTATGCAGTATTTTTCGTCGTTCTTCTCTATTCAGTTGTTTGTATTATTACCACACCTCTCGTTCAGTGTCTTTCTTCTATTACCAGTCTCTTTGTAGTTATCTTCATCTCTGCTCAATCTCTTTCCAATCTCCATGCAGCATTTTTCTACTGCTAACAGTCTCCTTCTTCTCTGCTCGATGTGCTTCTTCTTTACCAGGTTACATCTTCGTTATTCATTGTCTTTCTTTTATTACCAGCCCCTTTTTATCCTCGTTCCTCTCTGCCCAGTCTCTTTCTAGTCTCCGTTGATTCTTTCTCTTCTTTATTCACTTTCTTTCTTATCTTCTCAGTTCTGCTTTTTATTGCCAGTCTCCCTCATTGTTATCAATTTCTTTTCTTGTTTTTCCAGTCTCCCATCTTTCTGCACAATCATCTTCTCGTGCTTCCAGTATTCATTCGGCCTCTTTTCTTTATTTGATAGGTAATAAGTTTCCAGACTTTGTCATCTCTTTCTAATTCCTTCTTTAGATTTACAGTCTCATTCCAGACTTCCTTATCTGTGCTCAGTATTCTTCGAGACTTCTCACTTTCTTTATAGGCAGTCGCTTTCCTGACCCTTTGTCGTCTCCGTCTGACACCTTTTGCGATCTTTACATCCTTCTCCTTACACAGTCTCTTTTTTTCTTTTTCCACTTTTTATTTCATTGCCAATTTTTTCCCACTTCTCATTAAGAATTTTATCTATCTATATAAAACTTAAAAATAAACTTAAAATCTTGTTTTTTGTTCTTTATTGATATGATGGATGTGATATAATTTATAGAATAAAAGAAAAACACGAAAATCACCGATTTTTTTCTTTCACAGAACTCATTAATATGGATACTACAACCCATGAATATTCATCAGAAAAAAAGGAACGAGCACTGATACAGACCGCCGTAATCTGACATAACCGTTAAAATTTTATCGGTAAAAAGCTTAGAGTCACCTCTTAATTTGACGTAACTAATGGGGAAGCTTTGAGTTTGTGGGTAGAAAAAGAGGGAGAATATGATAAAAGTGGAAGATCGTTTTATCGAACTACTATCTCACACCCTCACATGCACAACCGTCTTTACCACGTAGATTCCTCATTCCTTTTTTCCATCCTTCGCCGAAGTGAATGTCAATATTTGCGGGCAAAATCTCTTTGGTTGATAAAAAGCAATTTGAAAAGTCTGGGAGTCGTCGGCGGCGGCTAGCGCCCGGAAAGCTGCCCCCGTTGCTTTGTGTATCTTGCCAAATGTGTTTTTGTGTGTTGGGAAGAGACGAGACTCTTTCCATATGCGGAACAATTTCGGTCTCCTTGCAAAAGGTCGCCCGGTTCAATTAAGCGCTTAAATCGATTTGCTATTTCCAACTTCACTCTGATTTCTTTTCGGAGTTTTAATTTGGTTTCTTTTTTGTTTTAAAAAAACTTGGTTGCATTACATTTAAATTCTCTTGTTACTGTTAAAATGTAATTTATTCTATTTCTCGGTGAAGCGAGTCTTTTTTGTAGAGTCAGCTTTTCACATTCACCAAAATGGCACATTCTGCGGAAATTTATATTTTATAGACTCCATAAAAACTAATCAAAAAGTAAATTGAATTGAAAATTATCCAAAAAATAAGTTGATAGTTCACAAAGTAGCCACCATTTCGTTGATCGATGGGTTTTGACGATGTACTTAAGACGTCTTTTCCTTGCAACCGTGTTCGACATCTATCAGGCTTCGGCTGTCCAATTTAATAATAGAAACCGGAAGAGCGTCCGCTCTCAATACGCCCCGTTTAAACCTATCGATCCAGACGCGAATTTTAAAGTACGATAGTTTTTCACTTGGAATATTGGAAGCTTCCCTATACGTAGATCCAAATTGCAACGGACGTATAGAGGATATAAGTTTCATACGGATGGATGCAATACAAAATTCAGGGGGAAAGTCAGTTTGGTGTTCGAAAAGGATAAAACAAAATCCCAGACGCAAACTTTGCTTAGCTCTCTTTGGGAATAGATAAAGTAAGTGTTGACGTCAACTTAGATTCTTCGAAAACAAGGTAATTTAATGATATGTATTTTTGTGATACGTGATTTTGATATGTATCTCAGCGGTTGAGGGTAAACGTTTTCTTATAAGAGACTTTGTATCTTTAGAAATATGTATAAAGATCGATTTTGCCTCAAATCGCCGAGGTCGCTTGCGGGCGAGGCGCTAGATTTAATATATCAACACAAACTGCTTGCTTTGAAAGATTCTAGCGTCTCGCCCGCAATCGACCTCAGCGGTTTGAGAGCAAATGGTTTCTCATAAAAGATTTTGTATCTTTACAAAGATGTGAAAAAAACGATATCGCCGAGGTCGCTTGCGGGCGAGGCGCTACATTTGATGTATCAACACAAAATTCGCCAAGGTCGCTTGGGGGCGAGGCGCTAGATTTGTTAAATCAGCATGAAATCGTTAACTTTGAAAGATTCCAGCGCCTCGCCCGCAAGCAACCTCGGCGATTTGAGAGTAAACGCTTTCTTATAGGAGCCTTTGTATCTTTAACAAGATATATAAAGTATGATTTGGCCTGAAATTGCCAAATATTTCGCAAATGTATTAATGAGAATAAAAATGTTTGTGTTTGATTAAATTAAATGAAATGAACAAGTGCATTAAAAGGTTTATTCTATCATAAGCCGTGCTACAACACATTATAAAATAATTATACTCACCTATCAGAGCATATTTTATAGGGAACCCGATAAATACTTACAATTCGTGTATTTATGAATATAATCGAAGCTAAATTTCCCGATAAATTTCAGGTATTTTATAGCCACCCATTATGCAAACCAATTAATAACACGATTTTGTGCGGATGTCAAAATGAATTTTCGAATAAAACTGTTTTGATTGACGACATTATTAAAAGACTTTCGTACTAAATTTATGCTTTAATCATGTAATATGATAAATCGTTAAGGTGTAAACGCAATTTAATTTTTTCCCCAAGCTCGAGATCCAATTTTGAGAGGAAAAAAAATCTCTCGTGTTTTTCTACCATTCATCCCTATGGGAGAAACTGCATCGCCTGAAAAGGAAACTTCCACGAAACAGGAAAGGCAAATTGCTTACTCCACAGGGGGGCATTAGGGGTAAAAACGCCCCCGGCTCGGTAAATTGTTTGGCTTGCTTTCCATTTTTTTTTACTACCGTCCACTTTACGCTTTCGTTTAGCGATTTGTAGATAATTAAAGTTAAATAAAGTTGTTTAAATACTTCAATTAAATGTTGGTTAAATGAAAGTTCTAGTGAAGAATGACGAATCGGATTTTTTCTCTTGACGAGAATAAGGAAGGTTCGAAACAGGAGCTAAATGGCGTGTCGATATTTCAACACTGACGTCTCGCTTATTATTACCAAGGACGGTTTTGAGCCCTGTCTGAAATCCACCGGCAGATAAATTATGATGTGTAGGTTTAAAACGAAGTGCGTTTCCAAATGATAAATTACG